TATCCATTCTTCAGTTGAGGGGCATTTAGGTTGCTTCCAGGTTCTTGCTATTATTACAAATAATGCTGCTATGAACATAGTTGAGCACATGTCTTTGTTGCATGGATGTGGATCATTTGGGTATATGCCTAAGAGGACGATTGTTGGGTCCTGTAGTAAACTGATTCCCATTTTCCCAAGGAACCACCATACTGATCTCCAAAATGGCTGTATGAGTTTGCACTCTCACCAGCAGTGGAGGAGTGTTCCCCTTTTTCCACATCCTCTCCAACATAAACTCTCATTGTTATTTTTCATTTTAGCCATTCTGACAGGAGTAAGATGGTATCTCAGAGTTGTTTTGATTTGCATTTCCCTGATAACTAAGGATGTTGAGCACTTTCTTAAGTGTCTTTCAGCCATTTTAGATTCCTCTATTGAGAATTCTCTATTTAATTCTGTACCCCATTTTTTATTCAAATTGAGGGCTGAAATCAATAAAGCAGAAACAATACAAAGAATCAATGTAACAAAGAGTATATTCTTTGAGAAAATCAACAAGATAGACAAACTTTTATCCAAACTAACCAAAAAGCAGAGAAAGAACATGCAAAGTAACAAGATCAGAAATGAAGAGAGGGACATAACAACAGACACTGAGGAAATCCAGAGAATCTTCAGGTCATACTTTGAAAATATGTACTCCACCAAATTTGAAAATTCAATGGAAATGAACAATTTTCTGATACCTATCACTTACTAAAATTAATCAAGAACAGATAAGCAATTTAAATAGACTTATAACCCCTAATGAAACAGAAGCAGTCACCAAAAGTCTCCCAGCAAAAAAAAAAAAAAAAAAAAAAAAAAAAAAGGAAAAGGGTCAGATGTATGATTTCAGTGCAGAATTCTACCAGAAATTCAAAGAATAACTAATACCAATACTCCTCAAAGTGATCCACACAATAGAAGCAGAAGAGGCATTGCCAAACTCTTTTTACAAGGCTACAATTACCTTAGTATCCAACTCATACAAAGACATAACTAAGAAAGAGAACTACAGACCAACATTCCTCATGAACATTGATGCAAAAATACCCAATAAAATACTGGCAAATCGAATCCAAAAACACATGAGAAATCATTCACCATGACCAAGTAGGCTTAATCCTGGGGATGCAGGGATGATTCAACATAGGAATTATCTATCAATTTCATCCACCATATAAAAAAAATTGAAAAAACCCACATGATCATTTCACTAGATGCTGAAAAAGCCTTTGACAAAATCCAATACTCCTTCATCATTAAGGAAGTTATTGGAGAGATCAGGGATAAAAGGAACATACCTAAATATAATAAAAGCAATATACAGCAAATCAACAGCCAATATCAAACTAAATGGAGAGAAGTCAATGCAATTTCTCTAAAATCAGGATCAAGTCAAGGCAGTCCACTCTCTCCATATCTCTTCAATATTATACTTGAAGTTTTGCATAGAGCAATAAGAAAACAAAAGAAGATCGGGGGATACAAATTGGAAAGGAAGAAGTCAAACTCTCATTATTTGCAGATGATATGATAGTTTATACAAGTGATCAGAAAACGTCTATCAGGGAACTCCTACAGCTGATAAACACCTTCAGCAAAGTGGCAGGATACAAGATTAACTAAAAAAAAATAAGTAGTCCTCCTATATACAGACAATAAAGGGGCTGAGAAAGAAATCAGAGAAATATCACCTTTTACATTAGCCACAAACTACATAAAATATCTTGGGATAACACTAACCAAACAAGTGAAAGACCTATATAATAAGAACTTATATAATAAGAACTTTGAGTCTTTAAAGTAAGAAATTAAAGAAAATACTAGAAAATGGAAAGATCCCCCATACTCTTGAATAGGTAGGATAAACATAGTAAAAACAGAAATTTTGCCAAAAGCAATCTACAGATTCAATGCGATCCCCATCAAAATCATAGCACAATTCTTCACAGACCTTTAAAGAACAATACTCTACTTTATATGGTAAAACAAAAGACCCAGGATATCCAAAACAACCCTGTAAATAGAGGAACTTCCAGAGGCATCACCATCCTTGACTTCAAGCTCTATTATGGGCTATAGTCCTGAAAACAGCTTGGTATTGGCGCAAAAATATACAGGAATACCAATGGAATAGAATTGAAAGCCCTGATATTTACCCACACACCTATGAACACCTGATTTTTGACAAAGCAGCTAAAATTATACAATGGAAGGAGGAAAGCATCTTCAACAAATGGCCCTGACACAACTGGATGATGGAATGTAGAAGACTGCAGATAGACCCCATGTCTATCGCCAGGCACAAAACTTAAGTCCAAATGTATCAAAAACCTCAACATAAATCTAGCCACACTAAACCTCTTACACGAGAAAGTGGGAGGTGCTCTTAAACAAATTGGTAAGGAGAGTGCTTCCTGAACAAAACATCAGTAGCACAGACAATTAATAAATGGGATTTCCTGAAATTGAAAGGCTTCTGTAAGGCAAAGGACACAGTCAATAAGAAAAAACAGCATCCCACAGAATGGGAATAGATATTCATCAACCCCACATCTGACAGAGGGCTGATTTTCAAAACTATACAAAGAACTCAAGAAGCTAGTTACCAAAACACTAAAACACCATATAATCCAATTAAAATGTAAGGTACAAAAGTAAATAGAGAATTCTCAATAGGGGAATCTAAAATGGCTGAAAGACACTTAAGAAAGTGCTCAACATCCTTAGTTATCAGGGAAATGCAAATCAAAACAACTCTGAGATACCATCTTACTCCTGTCAGAATGGCTAAAATGAAAAACACCAAAGACAGTTTATGTTGGAGAGGATGTGGAAAAAAGGGTACACTCCTCTGCTGCTGGTGGGAATGTAAACTCCTACAGCTTCTTTAGAAATCAGTATGGCAGTTCCTCAGGAAAATGGGAATCAGTCTACCACAAGATCCAGTAATTCCACTCTTGAGCATATACCCAAAAGATGTACATTCATACAACAAGGACATCTGTTCAACTATATGTTTCTTGAGGTTTTCCTTGTCTCTTTTTTTTCTGTTTCTTCATTTGTTTTGCCCAATTCTGTTATTTTGTTTTATTTTTTTGCAATCTATTTATTTTTTTTATTTTTATTTTACATATCAATCCCAGTTCCCTCTCCCTCTCTCCCTCTCTCCCTCTATCTCTCTCTCCCACTCTCTCATGCCCCCTGACCACCCAAACTCCCCTTCCCCCCCACTCCACATGTAGGGTGATTCCCTCCAGGAGGGGTCATCTATATGTGTCAAGTCATTTGGAGTAGGGACTCTAATTTTATTTTATGGACATTTATTTTAGATGCCTGTTCGTATCTTAATGAGAGAGAGAAAGAAATGGTGTGGGTTCAGAAAGGTGAGGAAATTCAGGAGGATCTATGAGGAAGGGGAGTCAAATCAGAATATGTTGTATTAAAATTTTATTTTCAGTTTTTAAAAAATTAAGGTTATTCCCAAACAAGAGATAGAAATACATTTCTTCAATTTCATATTTATATTTATTTAAAGCAATGGTTTAAATGTTCCAGATGTAATGAAGTATAGACTACCAATAAGTGTTTATGTATTTTTTGACATATATCCCTAGATACTCAGGGAAGAAGAGAGCAATTGATTGAAAGAGCTTTCAAAGCATAGCTGCTTTGACAGCAGCAATGTCTTCATCATTATTAGAATGCTTCCATGATTCTAGCATATGTGTACTTAAAAATTTTAATAACTTTCTGGTCAGTGGTGGCACACACCTTTATTCCCAGCACTTGAAAGGCAGAGGCAGGCAGATCTCCATGAGTTTGAGATCAGCCTGGTCTAGGTGAGCTATTTCCAGGACAGGTTCCAAAGCTACACAGAGAAAGCCTGCCTGGAAAAACCAAAATAATAATGATAGCAATAATAATAATGATGATAATAATAATAACAACAACTATGCCCATGTGTAAATACTACTTTCTAACTTATTTTTCCTAATTGTTTCTCTTTTCCTCTTACAACTCATTCATTTGGAGAAGATTTATGTACCTTCCATTTTCTACAGTAAATGATTACTTTAATTCTTGTAGTTCTTCTGATTTCAGAGCTCAAATTGTCCCCAAGTCTCCTGCCAAGAAAAGATCTTCTGAGAAGTATTTTATAGGCTTCACTCATGAACTGCTTTACAACCTTCAGGGCTAATTCATGATGCCTCCGTGTCTTATCTTCGCTGTGCAATCAATCCTCTTAGACCATAGTGCTCATCACTCATAGATAAATTGGAGACTTTGCTGATATATTCTGATTGAAGAAATAAAAGTGAACATTGGAGTGAACAAAATAGCCACCGTCCCTGAACTGTTGTCCTTAACCTAAATATCTCTCTGTATTAGGTAGGTCAAGTGGGGCTCCCAGCAAGACAGCCTTGTGGGAGGGCTTTTCCAGGTTAGTGTTCTTCCTAAATTAATGACAATGTTGGCTTTATTTTTGAAAACACAGATTTAAATGTCTCCTTTTCCTCCTCTCCTCTTTCACACACACATTAGCAATTTTCCTGTGTTAGTATTTTCCAAATTTACTTTTTATGCTTTTATATATGTATGTGTGTGTACACACACACACACACACACACACACACACACACACTCACCTATCTATCTGTCTATCTATCTATCTATCTATCTGTCTGTCTGTCTGTCTGTCTGTCTGTCTGTCTGTCTGTCTATCTATCTATCTATCTATCTATCATCTGGAATATCTGGGTGGTCTTCTGTGATCATATTTTATGACCTTGTTAAATCCTATTTTAGAAACAGGTAAAAGGGAATATTATCTTAATTAGGAATCTGGGTGTATGGAACTGTTTTATCAATATCAAGAACCTCTGTCAGACTGATCCCTGGTTGTTTTTATTTGCTGTCCAAGGTATTGTGTTTACAAACACTCCAAAGGTTTCTCGTGTATCGTTCATAAAATGTTGTTCTTCTCAAGAGTGATGTACATCACCTTGCTTTTTCTTCTTTATTCTGGTGAGTACATTATCCTGTCTTGGATGAGAACCTTGAACATATTCTTAAAAATCCAGGGAGGCAATAACTCTGAAAAGCCACAAATGAGCTTGTCTTACTTGGGTTGTAGTCCTTAAACTGGTCATGTTACAAAAGTTTCAAAAATTAGAGCAGTGGATTGCTTCTTCTAACTAGTTCACATTGGAGAAGTTTGAAGAAAGCAGTGGGTTAGAACAGGCTGTGTAGACTTTCAGTCTCTGCTCATTTGTACTGCACATTGCTAAGGCAATCCTATTGTTAAATGCCAAGTCAGGGAAAGAATAATGTCCTTAAATATGCCATTCTTGGAAAATCCATTTTATTTTATGACTTTAGGCCCTCTAAGTTCAGGCTTACATTAAGAGGTGTTTTAATTCTTCATATAGTAAAAGATTCTAGGTGAATTTCAAAATTAGCATTTGTGAAAGTTTACCTGGATCCTTGAAATTATAGCTGTTTAAACTTTTTCAATTTAAGTGAATACATGATAGATATTTGAACTCTGAGCCAGGGTATTTCTCATAATACCTTATAGAAAGTTATTATGTTCAGATCTATTACAAATGGACAATTATACTTTTATATAGGAGAGTAGTGTATAGTACTACTTTTCACACCACTTTATTTTTTGGAAAATAGTATTGTCTATATTTACATGTATTTTTAGTTAAGCCTTTACTACTCTCACCCAATTTTCATATTTAACTTAATTTAAATTTAAATTAAAACAATGTCTGGTACCTTTAGATGTAGGTACTTCTCACCAAAACAATATGGAAAAGGTTGTTTTTTATTAATCTTTATGTGTCTTCTCTGCTCCATTTTCAGAAAGTGCCTTTATAAGATCACTATTTTACAGGAAACGAGTAAGTTACTATTACTTTATATGAAAATTAAAAAGTAAAGTTTTCTTTTTTTTTAAACAGAGCAATTTTATGTAAAATTTACCCAATAAAATAAATTATTCAAAAGTTAAAACATTGTATATTGTATTACTATAAGTCCAAAACATCAATTGAAAGGCAAGCGAAATTATTATTGATACAATGTGTGACAATGAATATCTCAACTTCAAATTCGAGCCATTGTGAATCACATATGTAATTCAATATATATATATACACACAGCCCAGTAGGGACACCTCAGTGATTATCACTTAAAATGGTAATTTCCACATCCTTATATGGTAGAATGTTACATTTGAAAGTAAGTGTTAAACATGAAAATAAATAAATTGTCTCTAAATATCAATATAAATGTATATCTGTCACAGAATGCATAAAGTAAATCACACACACACAAACATATTATTGCTTTTGTTGTATAAATTACAAAATATCTAAATGTGAATGTGTGTTTATGAACATGAACTTAATTTATTTGTGTTGACATGTAAATAGGCAGTATATGTGCATCAAATTGGAGAGAATTTACAGAGAAATAGTGAATAATAAAACAAGTTCAATTTGGTGATGGGGGATGAAGGGATTGTTGTTTGCTGAGGAATCACAGATGTAATAATGTGAGTTGTTTGCTTTACAAGCTCATGTTATACCAGCTGTATGGTGTTCTTATTATTAGAGGCTTACAAACTAAAAAATAATCATTTTCACATGTTTTATATGTGTTATATGTCCTTTACATCTATGTGTAGATTACATCTAAACCAATTTTTTGTGACAATAAATGAGTGATGAACTTTTTATTCAATGGCTCATAATCTAATACATTTATGTTATCTTTTTGTGTTTTTCAGACACTATGTTCTAGTTATAGTCCTAAAGGATATTGTACCAGAGAGTATTATCCAGTCTGTGGAAACAATGGCAAAACTTATGGCAACAAATGCACTTTTTGTGTTGCACACAGGTAAGAATACAGTACTAAATACAAGTTCTTCCCAAGTAATGAAGACTTAATAGCAAAATCTCAGGTTTGTGTTATTGATACTCCATGCTCATAGTACACAGAAAAAATGACCCTACAAACCAATGTACTATGAATGACTAAGAAACATGTATACCTCCCTTTAGTATTGTGATTTCTGAGAGTCCTTTTGAATTTGGAACTTAAGGATATAGTTGTATTGAACATTGTACAAAGAAAGAAATAAATGAACTTAATTATTAGGAACTACTAATTGCAGACGTGTAAATGTTACAAGATAATTCCAAAGCCCTGATGCTCAATAGATCTCAGTTATAGTCTGAAATCTATCATGGCAGAAAGAAACTTCCTGGAAGGATACTCTTACATCATGAACTACATGAACAATTCTACACCATAGGATGTTCTAGGATACCTCCATTTAATATTCCTGCCCGTTTTGCTCTGTGAATGAGATAGCTGTGTCTCATGGCTTTTCCACTGAACAATCCAGTAATCAAGGTCTACAAACAATCCTTAATTCTTTTCTTTTGTTTTGAGTTCACAACTAAGGCAGAGCTGGGACAATAGAAATGGTTCAGGGAACCCACTGATGGAAGCATTCAGATGCTGGGAGCAGTTGGAGTCTAGTTGATAATAGAAAGGAGAAATTAATGCCTACAATTCAATCTTTTCCCTTTGAAAATAGCATGATGCACTTCCCAAAGAGTTTGATGTATTCTTTCAATAATTTCTATTTGACCACTTTTATTTTTTTCTTTATAGAAACAGCGGTGGTTCCATTAAGTTTTCACATTATGGTAAATGCTGAGTTTTTGATGCTGCTACATATTACTATGGATCTTATTATTATCACAGTTTTTGCTCTGAAGTCTACAGTGCTATGGAGATTTTGTCATCAGGTTCTACAGTCCTAGAAGATTGGGTGAATATGTCTACAGGATACAGGACAGAAGGCTGGGTCCTCACTGCTCTTTTCACTTCTGAGTTCCTGGGATTTCAAGATATTATCTTCTATAGTCAACTACTTTTTGATACCTAAAAATCCAAAACCTTAATTTTGCATTCTGTAAACTGACAACTTAAAACCATCAATGCCCCAGCTTTGTTCTTAATAAAAATTTAAAGTATACTCTTTATCAAGAAAATATTTTGGGAGATGGAAAGAATATCCAGTGGTTAGGGAAGTTTGATTTCTGGCACCCATGGCTTATATCCTCCATCTCCATGGGGATCTCATACCATCTCCTGTCCACTTTGGAACCTCCACAGAAATGTTATATACACACACATATACATAAACATAAACAAATTAAATAAAATTATCTTTTCTTACTTGTAATGTGAGGTAACCAATTGTATACTTTTCACAAATACAGATGATAAGCTTTGAAACAAAATTGTGGCTATTGAATAATTTCAGTGGGAATGACTTTTTCTGGAAATAACTCATGCCTCAGGAGTTGAACTTTTGTGCCGCGACTTCACAATGAATTTGACTAGATTAATCAAGACTTAAATATTAAACCATCTTCACCCTCTTCTTTGTGATCTTTCCATGTCCCTGAGCCAGAACAATGTGTGAAAGTATTGTGGAAAGTTTTCACCAGAAGCAGCAGGCTACCAGTGTTGTCAGGGTATCCACTACAGAAGACTACTGGCACATTCATTAAAGCCAATAGAAAGTCTTTATTATCCAGTAGATGTCTACACTGGGTGTTCAGGATTCCAGTGTAGTACTGAACCTTTCTTAGTGTGAGCTTTTAAGTACAAGAATCATATTTTGAGTTGACAAACTTCAGTAAACAAGAACAGTTAGCCTGAAGCAGAACTACAGATGCCAAAAAGCAAGGTTAGTACATTTAGAGACTTTCCCAGAACTATGGCTTTTTAACAGATTAGGCCTTTGTTTTAGTTTTGCTAGGTGGTGATGTATATGTGCTGAATTTTAAGCCTGAATAGGACTTCTATCATGGAGTCAGTTGTGCTAAGACCAAGTGACTCTGCAGCATCATTTGTACAAGAGTGTCAAGGCTTCCTAAGCAGAGTGCCACTTCCTGATGTCTGTTGTAATGTCAAGGTTTCTGATTGACATTTCTAAATTTAAAACTCCTACATGCAGAATAAAGCTGAAGCCCAGTCATGATCATTCCAATACTGGAAGCTCAGTATGTAGTCCAAAACTTAAGGATGTTTGGCAGTATTGGGACCATTTCTATTTCTTTTTGATAGGAAGAGTGTTATAACTGGAAAGTGTTGTGAAAATATGTTGTTATGGAATATTACTTTAACTAGGCAAAAGATGAGTTACACTATTTTTATGCTGCCTTTGTTAATGATGTAAATACATGTTGCATATGTTTTACATTGCCTGTCTAAGGCACTTAATTGGTCTAATAAAGAGCTGAATGGCCAAGAGCTAGGCAGTGAGAGGGATGGTCAAGTCTGGTGGGCAGAGATAAGAAACAGGGGCAGAAATCAAGACTCAAGAATAAGGATGTGAAGATAAGGATGGAGAAATAGAGGGCTATGACTCAGAGAGTTTGCATGTTCTAGAGGGTTCCATAGAAAATGGGCAGTTTCAAAACTAATTATGACCTGTGTATACTGCAGAAGGGTTACTTGGGAAGGAATTGTGAAGCCACTTTTTGGGTGATATAAGTAAGAAGACTGAATTGTAAAAATTGGCTTGAGTAGTATTTGCTGTGATTTTATATCAGTTATTCTGAGAGCATTGGGCAAAAATCTTGTTCCTGGTACTACTGGTTAACAGTGGTTACTAAGGGAACTCTAAAGTGTACAATGGCATAGCATAGAGTCACAGGTAACGTTCTTGTGGGTGGCTATTTCCACAGCAATGAGATAAACTACCTTTTTACCCTAAGTACTTTTATACTGCTGTCTGGGGGGGGGGTAGCCCCAAGTAGCACAGGGCCTTAATAGGAATCTTCAGCATCAGCATAAGCTAATTGTTTTCTACCTGAGGGGGTTTAATCTCTTTCTGGCTTCCTTCTTTATTCTCAGTTCTTCTCATGTTCTTTCTGTGTTTCTAGTGTATCCCTTCTTTCTACAGCTTATATACCACAACAAAGTGTTTTAGGCAATGTAGGATTACAGTGTGGTTACATTCTGCTTTTTAAGTGAATGATTACAGTTACAAAATAAACAGTAAAATACAGAAAACAGATCTTGGAAACAACCTAGATGCCCCTCAACCAAAGAATGGATAAAGAAAATGTAGTACATTTACACAGTGGAGTACTACTCAGCAGAAAAATAAACAATGAAATCTTGAAATTCCAAGCAAATGGATGGAACTAGAAGAAACCATCCTGAGTGAGGTAACCCAGACACAGAAAGAAAAACATGGTATGTAGTCACACATAAGTGGATATTAGACACAGAGCAAAGGATAACCAGCCTATAATCCACAACCCCAAAGAAGCTAGGAAGCAAGAAAAACCCTAAGAGACACATACATGGACACCCAGAGAAGGAGAAAGGGACAGGACCTACTGTGCAAATTGGGAGCACAGGGGGAGGGGGAGGGAGGGAGGAGAAAGAGAAATGGGTGAGAAAATGAGGGATCAGAAAGATCAAGTTGTGGGAAGAATAAAAAAGGAGAACAAGAAAAGAGATATCATAATAGAGGGAGCCATCATAGGTTTAAAGATAAATCTGGCACTAGGGAAATGCCAGGGATCCATAAGGATGATTTCAGCTAAGAATCTATGCACTAGTGGTTTTCGCTATTTGGTGGGATATTGGGATGACTTGTAGTGTTACAACGACACTGGCAAAGGACCAGTAATTCATACTTTAGAAGAATTTCAACAAGTGGATATCCTATGTAAGATTCCCTTTTCTAAAGAATTTCACTGCATTTTTTTTTTTGTGAGATTGGGTATGTAAGTGGATGCTCATAAGATGTGGTGCATGTGTAGACATGATAAGACAAGTTGTGAGTCAGCTCTCTTCACAAATAATTTGGGTTGCATGGATTATACTCAGGTTCTCAGGCTTAAAGGTAGGTGCCTCTACCTGCTGAAAAGCTGGAAAAGTAATAAACTTATTTATTTCAATTTTTTAGTTATCAATTGTTATTGAATTTCATACAATGTGTTTTGATTACAATTACATCAACCCCTTCCCTAACTATTCCCAGGTTTCAGCCCTCCTTACCCACTTAACTTTATTCTCTCTCTCTCTCTCTCTCTTTCAAACTCATTGTGTTGGTCAGTTACTACTGGGCTTGTGATATGCTCTGCATTGTAGTCGATATACTAAGTGCCACACTCTTAAAGGAAGCTGACTTACCCTCTCCTAGAAGCAATAAGATGCCAGTAGCTTTTCGGCCATTGCTGGGACTTCTTGCCCATTTCTTCTCCTTCATGTTCTTATTTTTTTTTCTGGCTTGAGCTTGTTCAGGCCTTACATGTTGTAACAAATGCTTTGAACTCATATGAGCTATTTACTTATTGCATCCAGAAAACATTGCTTCTTTAAGTTATCTCTGACTTTTGCAGTCTTTATGCCTTCTCTTTCATATAGATCTCTGGGTCTTCAGGAGTGTTGTATAATATACACATACCATTTAGGGTGAGGGCCTTATGAAACCTTCTGTTTTCTTCATGGTGACTGGTTGTTATATGCCTTTTTGATGCAAGGAGAAATTACTCTGAGAAGGGTTGAGTGATGTAATTTTTCTCCCATCTTTCTACTCTGAGATAGCTAGCATCTGTTGGTTTTGGTGAGGTGTGTCTTACAGAGCTAACAAAAAAGTGGAACCCGTTTTCTGATCCAGTCTATTACTATGACTCCTTTTAAAAGAGACACTTTATACAGGTATTAAGTGGGATCTTAGTAGGCAAGCAGTTTTGATATTACTAGGAATCTAAATACTCCAAATAGTCGAGTCTGCTCTTGAATTTGTTGGGGGTACTTTAAATGTCAGTGTACCATGACTCTAGAGACATTGAAGATTGTAAGCTTACACCCAGATGACTCAATTCTCTTTTCAACAGGGTTTAGAAAGCTTTCTACAGCCAACCAGAGATGTATAGTTCTAAACCTGAACTTCAGATTCACAGTGAGAACAGGTATTGTCTTAACAGTATTCCTCCTAGCTCTACTGAATCAAGAAGAGAGTATTCTAGGAAATATAAAATTCAGAACTTACTCTGTTTATGGAAAACTCTGGGATACTTCATGGCAGATCAAGATGTGAGGATCTAGAGCCAGCCTGTTTCCCAGGAACCCTCATTTCTGTAAGGTGACTCTGATAAATAGATCTTTCCTATTCTGAGAAAAAGGCCAATTCAGTTTCTTTTGCCAGACATATGGGTCCTGACATATTGGAGACATTCATGAAGGGTTTAGTGTTCATTTATTTGCAGGTATCCTTGCATGTGCACCTGAAGTAGGCCTATGTTTGCCCTTGTGATCCTTGTAGCTAATTATGTAAAATGTAAGGATATGCATCTGGCCAACCACACATACAAAGTCTAGCACAATTATTTGGGCTCCCTTCTCTCCTCCCTAATCCCAGTAATCTTCTGCCAGATCTTGGTTATTGAACACTGAGAAGGCAATGTTCAACAGCTGGCTCTGAGGGGAAAGAAACTGCATTTGCAGTGTCTAAGGTATCCTATTAAGTTGAGGCATGCTGGTGGAGCCCTGGTTGTTGAATTTCCCAAAGGCCTCTGTTAGTCAGTTGAGAAATATGGCAGCGTTTTCTTCCCTTCCTTCAGTGACATGTTTGACTTTGTTATAGTGAAGCTGTTTCTTATTTCAACTGTTAATTCCTTTGTA